TATTTGCATACTTTTATGAACACTGTTTATTATAACTCACAGAACACTTAGGAAGTATGTGCTATTTCTTTTCTTGCCTTGGAAAGGGAGCACGAGGAATTTGAAGCCAACTGGAGGTCTAAAAGCCTGAAAGCCTGGCCAAGATGGTGAGCCTGATTTAATCCAGGTGCACTGGACTTCAAAATCTATAGTGCTCCCCTCCCAAATTAGCATCCATTCTACATTCCTAATTATTGTAACTGTTTTTAAAACCAGCAGTCTTCACATATGTGTTAAGTAATTATCCCTTTCCATTGAGAGATGATAGGGCTGAGACAGTCTGTTTCATTCAATTCTCTGTCTAGGTGTTTTGTTGTTGTTGTTTTAATTACACTATATATTTACATTATTAAAACTATTTTCTTCTGTAGCAAGGTAACTTTCTTGACCCTGCTAAATCTAATTTGGGAAAAAAGTGTGATAACAACCATTCTAAAAAATACTCAAAAAAAATTAACCATGTCCTGAAAAAAACAAACAAGGATCCCATTTAAGGTTATCACAGGAGACAAGCTGGGTAATAAAATCGCAGGAGCCCATTGCTCTCTGTACCTCCATATATATCACATCTTGTAAACTTTAAAGGGACTTTCTTTTTCCTCTCTTCCTGTTGAGCGTTAAGAAGCAGTTGCCTTTCTGGCTAAAAGGCATTTGCAGAATTGCAAAGGCTCAGTTGTTAACCTGAACATTTTCTCTGCACAGCCTGAGAATAACTGCTCATAAAAACAGGGCAGAGCTGTACCCATCAGCACGGCTAGTGTGAACACAAAAAGTTCTCTCCTCATGAAGAGAAATGTGAAGTTTCTTAAACACATACACTGTGTGGTATCACACTCAAAGTAGCAGAGATGGGGGTAACATGAAAAAAATTTTTTTGAAGTTATCTGTTTATAGCGATTTCATATGTGGTGCACTAATAAAGTAAGATGTACACATTTGAGTAACAAGGGTACCTTGTAGACTCATAGCACTTATATTTTTAAGAGTAGTGTTCCCTCTTCCTCAATGAAAGAAATATGTGTGTATATATATTTATCAGCGGATTCTGCCAGCTATGCTGAGAATTTCCAGGCTGTCACCTGTCCTGCCTGAGATTTGTCCTGCCATTTCACTTTAATCCCTTGATTGGCAGAAAACATGAGGCTGATACAGACACCTAGATCATAGATAGAAAACCTTTTAGCAAGTACATATGAGTCTTCAGGCTCTGTTGGAGGGAATAGTGTCATACACATTTTTAAAATTATTGTGTTTTAAAAGCCTGGTATCATGATATTGCCAGATTGTAATGTTTTCATATAGCCTGAATGTATATTTTTTTTCACAACTATATGAAATGAAACTGGCAGTTTTTACACAACTGGATTATGATCAGGTCAGAATCCCACATCAGAAACCAGGGTTTGGGTCCTGGTTCTGCAGCCTACTAAACTGAGTTATTCACCCTGAGGTACTTGACTTCTTTGCCTAACATCTGCCTCTCAGAGACACTGGGAATACCTAACAAGAGTCAGCCTTGAAAAATGGCTAACGCTGACACCACTGTTACTGAGAATAATAAGAATAATGTTTGATGATGATTGGATACCTTTCCTTTGGCTTCCTCCTGATGTGCTTATCAGAAAGCTATGCCAAGGTAGAAATTGTACCTATCGCCGAGGACATTATCTGACCTGACCCATAAAACTTGTTTAAAATTGTCTATAACTTCTGGATCTACAGTCATATCTTAGTTGTTAAAGTGCTTAACCTTACAAGCACAGAGCCCGAGTTTGATCCCCAGTACCCATCTTCAATAAAGTTGGGTGTCATAGTTCACACTTCTGATCCCAGCACTGGGGAAACAGAGATAGAGGCAGAACCCTGGTGCTTAGTGGCTGGCCAGGCTAGTCTATTTGATGAGGTCCAGCCAGTGAGAGACTCTGTCCCAAAGGAATATGGATAACAACTGAAGAAAGGCACCTCTCACACATAAATACACACACACACACACACACACACACACACACACACATTCTAAAAACTGTACAAATAACTTACAAATAGTATAATTTTTCTAAAACACTATTTCAAGGAAACTGTGTGTTTTTCTTTTGGGAGTAGGGTGTCTTCATGAGCACAGCACAAATGGTTTTCAGTCACTAAGCTACCAGCCACGAGGCGCTTGGCCACATCAGGAAAGCCAGATCACCTAATCCTCAGAAACTGTGCTGTGAAGAAGACGGCGTGATCACCATCTCATAGTCTAGTAAGGTGACACTCAGGACAGATTCCATCAAAGCGGCTGACTCTACCTGAGCCTCAGGTCTGCCTGGCTGCTCTGTCTAAACCGCTCAGCTCTCCACTACAGTACCCTCTCTCCAGGGGTCTAAGAATCCTCACTAGGAACAACAGGTCAGAACCTGTGAATTCTGAAGTTTAAAAATCTGATCATTAGGAGCATGTTTTTCACCAATGCAGCCTAAAATGCCACTTAAAAGAATACAGTATTTTAGGGTAAGAACTTTAAATGCATACAGGTTACGAACACCTAGAGGCTGTTCTTAACAAAGTAACCTGCTCATTAACTAAAACAGAATTATCACATCTTTAAAATTCATGTAATTTGTGTTTTGAGATATAGTAAAATGACTGGTTAATGTGACTTAAGCTTAATTTCTCCAGGTAACTGTCTTGCTGGAAAGTTACACTAAATAGTATTGACTTAAAATCCCAGGAACCCAAACTAGTAGTCTGTGTGTGCATGCTTGTGAGAGAGAGAGAGAGAGAGAGAGAGAGAGAGAGAGAGAGCATATGTGTATGTATTGTTTGTGTATGAATGTATGTGAATGCATGCGTGTGTGCCTGTATATGTATATTTTTTGTGTATGAATGTGTGATCATAAAAGTGCATGTATGTGAGCTTGTGGGGAGGTCAGAGGTCAGCCCCCTGTGTGTTCCTCCATTGAGATCCACCTTACTAGTTTTTAAGATAGAGTCTCTCATTGATGGAGCTCAGCACATGGCCAATGAGCACGAGGGCTCCACCCACCTCTGCCGGTCAGCGCTCAGATTACCACACATAACTTTCCTTTTCTAATTTGGGCTCTGGAGATCAAACTTAGGTCTTTAGGTTTGCTGGGACTTGGCTGGACGCAGCTATGTCCCCCGTCTCCATAGCTTTTCTGTACTAAAAAGAAAGCGGGGGATGCTGGGACATTGGCACTGAAACCAATAAGCAAGGAAGCACTGCAGTTAGTTACCAGAGAGCAGAGTTAACAGCTAGAACACATCCACCACAGCACTAACTGAACACAATTAAGCGGCACCTCCTGCCATAGCCGGGTTTGCCTACCAACTTGAGAGCTAACCTGCACTACAGAGCTAACCTGTACTACGCCCCTTAGGAGCACTCCTTAGTATTTTGTTCTGGGGAGCTTCTCGGATTGACTTCAGCATCACAGCCACAGAGACCTTTTCAGGCACACTGTAGCCCTTAGTTTGCTCTTCTTTTCGAGCCTGTTTTGGAGCTTACGTTTGCTACGGTGATGTGCAGTGATGCCAGCCGTGGATAAAATGTCTGAGTATGTCCACAGACGACAAATATTCCTTACTTTCTGCTGCCCTCCTAACTGTAGTAATTAGTAAATACTATTTAACCACCCTGCCAAAATTCTACATGACCCAATGATTCTACTTGTTACCAAATGTCCCTGAAACCACAGTACACAAACAGGCCTCTTTGCAAAATGAAATGGAAGGCAGGACTGAGAAAATCACCAGATAGTACATAAGGGACACTTTTTGGCTTCTCCACTCCTATGGTCCTAAGCTAGCTGAAACTGGTGGTGGTTGAAAACAGACATTTTCTGATTTTTTTTTTCGGTTGATTGAACCACAAGATAAGCTGGAAGAACACAGAGAGGTAGGAAGAGTGACAATGCTGAGGGCCAGACCTTCTTTTGTGCACAGCAGAACTAATTTTTGTCATGTGTGGGTATGTGAGAAAAGTGAACAGCCAGAAACGTCTATGATTTTAGTCATCAATAATGTAGAAATTAGAATATGTTCCACACTCATGGGATTCTGACATCCTATAGAAAGAACTGGTATGTATCAATGAATCTAAAATATTGAAGTATTTTTTAAAGCTCTTTACCAAGGACATCCTCATGATTTTTTAGCTTCACACAAGAAGAAATTGTCTCAACCTTTTTGGATCTACAAAGTAAGTATCATGCTCCCTATTTCAGTTTACTGAGTAACTTGTCTTCCTAGTTCCTTAGTTAATTGCTCATTTAGCTAAAGATTTATCGTCATCCCTCAATATGAACATATGTGTAACCATAGCTGTATTAATTCACACCAGGAAAAGAAGAGTGTAACTGAAAGAAAATGACAGAGGAGAATAAAACAAGGGAGAGGATTATCATCTGCCAAAAGCCTGCCCCTTGCTGAGAGGGGTAGCTCAGCCTTGCTCTGTCAAATCCAAATCCAAAGTAAATGCAAGAGTGAAAATAAGAATTTGTGAATGTCTCGGTTCTGTTTTCCAAATGCACTCATTCTTGATAAAGTTATTGGGGGAAGGGGCATTCAAGAAGTTGATAGCTTTCTTCTTCATGAGACATTTTTATCAGGGATAAAATAATTGACTCACCTCTCTCTCTCTCTCTCTCTCTCTCTCTCTCTCTCTCTCTCGTTCTTGCAGGGACTGAAGACACTAGTTGTCCCTTCCCCCAAAATGGCAGGATGCAGACCTTTTATAAAAATATTCTTCAGTTCTGCTTTTTAGTAATCAACAAAGTGGGTGATTGAAGAGGGGTAGGAGGGGTTAAGCCACTGGCTTTGGGATGGAAAAAACCGATAACTCACACACCTCATCACCCACCTCCAAGTACTAGACATCAAGCATGGCTAGAAAAAGGGAGGGCAGGAAAGTAGTCAGTTCACTTTTGCACAGCAGCCCGCAGCCCATACTCTACCTCCGCCAACCACCACAGCAGTGGGCTCGCAGGTGCGGACACAGTGGAGGAGGGAATTGGAGCGAAGGTTGGAGTTGAGGAAGGCCACCACGCAGCCCAGTTTAGCCAGGCCAAACCACACGTGGACGAAGTCCGGCTCGTTGCTCATCAACAAGGCCACGACGTCCCCCCTTTTCAGCGAGGAGTGGTTCAGCAAGGCGTGGGCTACTCTGTTGCTCCTCTTGTCCACATCCTCATAGGTGTAGACGACCCCCTCATAAATGAGGAAGGCTTTTTGGGGTTGCCTCCTGACGTGGCTCAGGAACTTATCCAGCACCGTGACGAGCTCCCCTCTCCATCTGTACATCTCCATCTTAATCCCATAGCGCACCACCTTCAGCAGGAACCGCAAATCATCCCAGAAGTACGGGAACAGAAGTTTCTGCAGGAAGTGCAGGAAGAGCAGTCCAGCCCCAAATCCTGTGAACCACGACAGAAGCATGGGCACTCAGGCCACCCTCAGACCTGATGGTCCCTTCTCCAGGAGCTTCACCTCTCTTGTCCTGGAACACCCTGTCCTGAAAGCTGGAGAGGCTGCCTGCCACCTGTATTTCTGGCTCAGGCTGTCTTTCTGTAGCCTGTGAAAGAAATCAAACGTTTTCACCAGAAGGCCACGGACTTCTGCTGATAAGGCTTGGAACGCTGGGTGAAGCAGCTGTGGAGCAGAGCCCTGAGTCTTCTTAAAATAAAAAAGAAAAGAAAAGAAAGAAAGAAAGGAGGGCTTGCACTCACAGCACTCACAGGGCTGGGAATGAGCCCAGCACGGCTCAGTACACCCAGCCCTTCACGGCTGCGCCAGGCTCCTTGGAGGATACCCTGGGCTTCAAGCTGGGACCTTCTTGGTCACCTCTTGCTCACTCTGAGAACCCTGCTGTGCTGGGCTCCGTTGACTGAAAGATCTGGAGGCTGAATTGGAGCTGGGATGGAGCCCGCGGTTTCCTGCTGGCTCAGGCAGGGGCTCAGCCACGCCTCAGCAGCCCCCAGGCAGAAACTGCCGCCAGCGCCACCCTCTCCCCGTCCCCCTTGCCCCGCCCCAGGACCAGGATCTCCCTTCCCTCCCACTCAAGTTCTGTCTAGGGGCCACCGAGTTCGCTGGAAGGAGCTGCTGGGCACTGAAGTCGGGGATCTTCCTCCCAGTGTCCTTAGAGCTGGAAGAGTCGCCCACTCATCTGCTGCCTCCCCCGTGGTAACGACCACTTGGACTCTCTGTCAGGCATCATGCCGGGCAAATGGTCTTCCCGCTTCCACGTGGGCATGCCTGGCCTCAGGCTGGACACCCCACAGTCCCATGTGGCATGAGATGGAGACTGGGAAGCTTGGTGTGGGGTTTCTGAGGAGAATACTACTGGCATTGGGTCAGTGGTGATGGGAGGTGGGGTAGGACTCTGGAGAGGCAGGTGAGGTCAAAGAATGCTGCCCAGGGGGTCCTTAGCAGATTTAGCAAACTATTGGCTGGGATTAAAGGTAGGAGCTCAAAGAAAACAACAACAACAACAAACAGCAAAATCTGCTAAGAGAGAAAGGGAGGAGAAGGTACATTTATGAATTAGGGGTGTTTGAACTCATTCATAAAAAAAGTTCACATTTTCTTCTTTTACAAAAGGCAATTTTTAAAGTGCGTGGTTCGGTTAGTGTTGGCCTGCTCATTGTAACATTATCCTTAGAGTGTTAATTTCTAAAAATATTGATTTACTATCTTAGGTCATGTCCGTGTTTTTTGTTTGTTTGTTTGTTTTGTTTTTTAATGTATGAAATGCTGCCTATCCTGTGTATTTGGAAAAGGAAGTTGTAGGAAGAAAGGGGTAACAGGGATGGTAGAGACATGAGAGCAGGCGGGAGCTGCAGTCATCTGAATGCACTAAATGCACAAATGAAATTGCCAAAGAAAAAAATTCCATAAAAGTTAGGCTTTTGTTTTTGCTTTTGTTTTCCAGTTCTGCCGTTTAAAGAATCGTCAAAGTTCAACGAATTTCACAGCAATGCTTGGAGTGGGAAGGAAGCCGCTATACAGATTTTTATGCAAAGAGAGCATTTTATTAAAAAATAAAACACAGATGAGCTTTTAATTGTACATTTAAATGATTTTTGTGTATTTACATACATAAAATTTCTTTACATGTAAGTATGTATGTGTGTCCATGTATACACACTTGCAAGTCGATGTGCACACTTGGTATGGAGGCCAGAGGTTGATGTCAGTAGTCTTCATCTATCACTCCATATTATTGCTAATTCTTCTCCTCCTCCTCCTCCTCCTCCTCCTTCTCCTTCTCCTCCTCCTCCTCTTCCTCTTCCTCTTCCTGATAGAGGGTCTCTCAGTGAGCCTAGTGGGAAGAGCAAGGTTGGCTGGCCAATAAGCCTGGGCAAGAGAGAGGGTGTCCTTGGGTTCTCTGATAGTGGGACTGTAAGTTCATGCTACTTGGTTGGCCTGACATTCTACATGATTGCTGGGGATCCAAGTTCTGCTCCTCATGCTGGTTGGACATCTCCCTAGCTTGTACTCACAAATTCTTTGCTAGCAGACACTATCAACCAAGCTCTTTGCTTTTAAATGTATATTCAATGCAAATTGTATGTTTAAATAACATACAATCAGTGCCTCATTATGTTTGGCTTGTTCTTCCATCCATCAGCTGGCTTCTAGCTAACTTCCGATTCTTTAAGAAAAAGAAAAAAGAAAGAAAGAAGAAAAGGAAAAACAAAATGATGACAAAAATCTTGATAAAAGCAAATGTAAGATTGCAGTTGCCCTGGTAAGTATGAAATCACAAGGTTGCTGAAGCCACAGATTCTTAGATGCTCCCATGTAAATGAAGAGACTGTTTTCTAAGTTGACGTATAAGCCCTTGTCCTTTCAATTCAGAACTATTTTTTCAGGTAAGAAGGAAAGGCTGTCCCAGCAAGCATTTTTGACCTGAAGAGAGTGTCTGAAATGGCACTGTCTTCCCTCCTGGCTTGCTGATTCAGTTAAAAAATTAATAGAGAACAGTTAGTCTCCTGTGGTCGGCTTACTGATATGAGTAAATCTGCTCTCCTCCCACAGACAAATATCTTCTTTTTTTTATGAATGTCTAACACCATTTCAATAGAAAAAATTTAAATTTTAGCAATTGCCAATGTAAATAAGAATGGAGAATGTTCAGGGTTGTTAGTGTGAAATAGTCTGTTAGTCTCGAATATATTAAGATCTTTAAGCTCATGTTATTAAAGTGTATAAAGGCTTATTTCTTAGGAGATTTCTCCCCATGAAGGATGGACTCTGTGAACATCTTGAAGCATTTAAGGGTCTTGTATATTCTTGCATAAGCACGTGAACAGCTTAGTTCATCCCAAAGATTTGTAGCCACTTTCAATATCGCCAAAGAAGGCTATCAAAGAGGAATGTAACTTAAGCCACAACACCAAGTTATTAGACAATGGCTGGCAGACAGCAATAGCTGCAAGCGAACAGATCTATGATTTAAGAAAAAGAAAGAGAAACAAGAGCACGGAAATCATCTAGACACCTGCCCTGAGACTGCTTTTGACCAGGGACAGTGCAATACTGCTCAGGTTCCCGTTGGGACATACATCAATATTATGCTTTCTCTAAGCATAAAAGCAGTTAACAAACAGTGTGATTAAATATGAGTCAGTGCAGGAAGAGAAGGTCTTCTCACTTCTGATTTGATATTCCTCTCTAACCTTCTTCCTTCAGACCCTTCTGCACTCTCGGTGTTGGTCGGGATGAACGTAGCGAGCGACCAACACCGTCCTGAACAAATAGCATTACAGGATGGACAATAACGCACTTCTTCGGGACATTGCCACTACAACCTCCACTTCCCCCCTGAGCTTTCTAGTGCAGTTCTGCAGCAATCAGCACAGGATTACAGGAGTTTGGGATGAAACCCAAGATGCTGAGAATGATTTCATGGGATGCAAGCTTGATGAAAAGCATCGCTGTGGATGGCCTCAGTGAATCAAGAGGCTGGCTACTTAATACTACCAGGGCTTTGAGAAAACAGGAGAGAGATGCCACCATATAGATCAAGGATGTGAATGCCTCTAAAAATGAAGGGAGGTACCTTTTCAGTTTCCCCTCCAGAAAGCAGTCTGGTAGAAGACATTGATCTCAGTTGATCATGCATGGAGAAGGAAACTTTATGGCCATGACAATGGAGAGATGACAGTCCCCTGCTCAGCTCACCTGATTTCTCATCTCTCATGATTGCTAACTGACCAATTTTCATACCTAGGTTTCAGCTATGGTCTTATTTCCTGGAGGCCTCCTATGATTGAGTAAGATAACAGTACAATGGTAGGCCCACCATTACTGAGGAAGGCAGAGGGAAAGGCTATTTGTTTTGGCTAATTTATCTCACCCAAAGCATGTTACATGTAACAAGTAATATGTCTCCCCATCTTCACAATCGGCTCCTCTCCTTCCACAGAAGCAAGGAGGCATGGGTACTATCTTCCTTAATGGTGGCATTTCAAAGGGGAGAAGGATGGAGTTGAAAATACTGAGTGGAGAACTCATCCACTTTATAATTCAACTCAGGAGCTGAAGCCTTTTAGTGACTGCCTTTAGACTGTGGTAGCCAGTTGGGTTTTGGTGGAAAGCTTACTTTTCCTGTAATTCGATGTTTATTTGAATTAATGAGTAATTATTGCCTAGAATATTTTCTCCCACAAGGTCTCATGAAACAAACATTAAAGACAAAGAGTGCTGCTGGAGTTGGGTGCTATTATTATTGCTACATGTCTTAGACACATCAAATACATCTTCAAATATAAAAAGTTTTATAGGACCAACTAAACCATCCCATTAAAAGTAGTCTGAAATCAACTCCCAAACAAATTAAACACTCAAGTATCATTTTATCACTAATTGAAATTTTAACTAGAAATTTATGTGAGTCAATGTCTGAACAAGATTCACCGCACATATATATTTTACTTGTGGCATTTCTTAGATTCAGATACTGCTAGTTATGAAAAATCTCCCCTTCCTCACCATTGGTAAAACTGATTTTCTGAAAAAGATATTAATGTAAAGCTTGACTACTGATGAAGAATTCGCAGAAGTTTCGTTTCTGGTTTGTAAGCCACCTATGTAGACCATTTGGTCATTACTGAAGTAAATCAAAGAGCCTGCCTGGCAACTTCTACAAAGCATTAGCAATGCTCTCAACGTTGCAGGGCATTGCCCCCTGGGTCCCTGTGTTAAATATCTCATGAGTGCTATGATTTAGTTTCTAATGTACGGAAGAATCTAAACTCTAATGTGTACATTCTGTCTTAATCTGCTCTGCGAATCCATGGCTCTGAAGTTTCTTTTTAACCTTTCTGATTACTTAATAATAATTTCTCTGTAGAGAATTAGGTACTCCATGGTTGGTTTTATTTTGCCAACTTCACCTTGTGCTACTTCCCATTCACAAATTCAGGCTTCAGTTC